TCTAGGCTTTGTCTTTGAGCTGTCATGGAGGCTGGCTGGCCTAGCACATAGCTGGCCTAGCATGTAGCTGACTCAGTGGCCCAGGCTTTGTCCTTGACTCATGCATGTAGCTCTAAGTCAGTAAGGGGTCCCAGACAGTAAACAATTGGCTGAACTTTGAGCAGTCAAAGTACATGTAGAAAGGGAGCTACTGCAAGGACTATGTCTTTTGTTCACGGCCCTCCCAGAAACTGCTTGCTCAAGTCTCAGGAAACTGAAATTGAGGACTGATCTCTGAGAGAAGACTGACAGCCTATTATGGTGTCTACTTGGTCCTTTCACTACTTACTCTCCCTGCCCAGAAGTTCTGCCCATGCCTCCTCCCTCACTATTAGCAAATGACCATTGATATTTGAATTTGCCTGTTCATGCATGTTGAGTTTCCAATGAGCACATTCCATGGATACATGTAAAGAGGAGAAGAGTATAAAAGTTCTTAATTACATCTGGAGGTTATATGCGAAATAAAATGTTTAGTAATAAGAGCAAGATGATTTCATGGGTAAAGGTGCTTGCCACCAAGTTTGACCATCTAAGTTCAGTCTCAGTTCTCTTCTTTACCAACCTTCACAATTTATCCTCTGACCTCTACACATGTGTCATGACACACCTCATTTACTTACACACACACACACACACACACACACACACACACACACAGACACACACATATCTTCAGAATATTAGATTCCATGGAAAGTGAAAAATCAGTAGGTGTGCTACAATTAAATTGTGTATATTATAGAATTGGAAAACAAAAAGCAGTGTCAAAATTAGAGTGAACACTCAACATATCTATAACTGAGCCAGTATTCCCATGTAAATTGTCTTTAACTATATCCTTTAACATCTTTATTAACATATTATTTTTATTGATTATCTGGAAATTTCACATAATGCATCCCAATCACATTCATTTCCCAGTCCTCCCAGGTCTACCCTCAATTTTTGTGTTTTTGTGACATCCCCGAAAACAAAAGAAAATGAAGAAAAGAAAATACCAAGTCCAACTTGTGTAGCCCATATTCTCCCTGTAGCATGGTCAAACACCCGGTGGCCAGGCCCTGAAAGAAAACTGAGTCCTTCCCCAACCCCACCCCTGCCAGAAGCCACTAATTGTGAAGAGCTACACTTCAGCCTCCCTATCATAATTTTTAAGAGTTCTCTTCAATGGCTTTGTGTCTAGACTGTGTCTTTTTTTTTTTTTACTTTGAAAAATCTGATTTTATTTTCTTAATCAAAAAGAAGTATATTTGTGTTAAATCTAGAATATTTAACTTTCCATTGATCTCTCAAATACTTGCCAGATAGTTACTAACAGTGCTCAGAACTGTGAAAGTTAACATCCAATACCACTTTGTTAAGTCAAACGACACATAGAAAACTACTTAAGGGCTGGTGTTTTCTAAATGCTGTTGTTTATTCTGGAAGTGTTGAGGAAATGAGGCTAAGTACCATTCCTGAGAGTTGTACTTTTATGTACCTGGTCAGTGCTTCTGACAGCTCTGAACAGAATTGATTACTGGTGGTTGTTGTATTAACAGTAACAGCGGGATTGGTTGCCAGTAGTTTCTGTTTTGTTTTGTTTTTTTAATGAGACCTGGAACTAAAATTTTAGCAACAACAATAGAAAATTTACCAGAAGTCAGCTCTCTTTGTACTGAAGACTAACCATGACCGCCAGCCACTTCCCAGCCATCTTTTGTTCTTGAGGAAGAGTGGTTGGGATTTTGGATATGTTTGCAGACCTGTCAGAAAATCCTGTTTATGAGTCCTGTTGGTATTTTTGTTATCTCAAGAAATAACAGATAGTACCTAGATGTGAGATCTTTCTAACATTAAAAAATGAAATGGCGAGCTGTTGCATTACACTCGATGCAAAATGATGATTCTGGGAGAAATATTTTCCTTCATTTCAAAATATTCTTTACTAATAATGATGGATTTGAAAAAATAGCTTTTCCCCCTTTTTCTTTCCTTTTTGGATGCTTAAAATTAGACTGTGTCTTTTGGGGGGTTGGGGGGTGGGGAGAGAGATTTCACAGCAGCCTTCTGTCTCTCATTCTCAACTGTGGGTCTGCAGTCATCGACACCACTGCAAAAAGAAGCTTCCTTATCCTTTATAGTCATCTGCAGCATGGATCATGGATTTCCATGTGGTTTCTGGCTACAGCTCAGGCCACAGACACCAACATTTAACTTCTTAAAGATATGGTGTTTGTGGTGGTTTGAAAGAAAATGGCCCCCAAAGGGAGTGGCACTATTGGGAGGTGTGGCCTTGGAGGAGGTATGACACTGTGGGGGAAGGCTTCAAGGTCTCCTTTGATCAGGCTTGGTGTGACACTCAGTTTACTTCCTGTTGCCTCCAGATCAAGATGTAGAACCCTCAGCTCCTTCTCCAGCACCATGTCTGCCTGCATGCCACCATGTTCCACCATGATAATGGACTAAACCTCTAAACCGTAAGCTAACTCAATTAAATGTTTTCCTTTATAAGAGTTGTCATGGTCATGGTATCTCTTCACAGCAATAGAAACCCTAAGACAAGACATGTGAGATGAAGTCATGTAAATGAATGCATAGTGTTTAAGGCCCTCCATTTGACCTGATACCTCTCCTTCCATGAGACTGATAGAGGACAGTATGAATACATAGGAGCATTTTTATATTCTGTATAAAAAAGACACATTTCCATTCCATACTGTAAAAATAAGTCTGTATGTACATGTTGCTAATAATTTAACATGTACACACTAGTTGCAGAATATTAGTTTAACTATGCAAAGATGTGTTGCATTTGTTTGTATTCACCAAGCTGGACTCTGGTTCTCTGAAAGAGCAGCAAGTGCTCTTAACCACTGAAACACCTCTCCAGCCCCAAATTACTTCTAATGATGAATCAAGGACTTTCTTACAAGAGCATGGGTGACGGTTGCTTACAGATGCATGAGTGAGCCCCCAAACAATTACAACACAGAAAAGTCTCACCCCTAGGTGATGATCTCCCAGAAGCTGTGTAGATGGATCTTCCTTTTAACTCTCCATCTCTCGAGTACATTAGCACCTCCCAAAACACATGGAGTTGGTCAGGCCCAGGTGCAGCAGGTGGGGCAGTTGGGCAGGCCCAGGTGCAGCAGGTGGGGCAGGAGGGAGTAAATGGCTGTGAACTCATCTGAGAGCCAGGCACCCTGCCACCGCTCCTTCCATGAGGGAATACCAACAGGCCAGTTTTGGGGGTCTTTAGGGAGTGATCACCACTGCTCTGATTTTTAAGATCGTAATGGCCATGAAATTCCTAGACAACAGCAGTCCACCACACTTGGGTCTTCTTGTGGTTTCTAAACACACTGCATAGTGTAGGGAAGGTCAGATGACCTTTTTATTTAGTAAATGAGATTTTACTGGAAGTAGAGGGTGCTTTACTTATCGCTTTAAAAGGAAAACAGCTATAAATGCCCCTTAGTTATCTTCAGCAGGGAGAGTGGAACTGCAAATTATTTGTGCTGACATTTTATCTCAGCTTTTGCACAGAGAACAGTATGTTTAACTGAAAATGAAGAAAATAGTCTAGTACAAAAGAGATTGAGATAAAATAATTATGAAGGAAGAATTAGGGCTTATCACTTAGGTCAATGTAAACCTAACATTCATTCAATTTACTTTTTTGTTGGTGGTCACGTCAGAGGAGCAGCAGGTAGCAATTGACTTCAGAGGATTGGTCTACCAGAATGCAAGGCACTGATGGATGAATTTCATATAGGCAAGGCCCCAAGAGCTTCGGCTCCAGAATGGCCCTTGCTACTGCTGTGCCTTTACATGTTTGCTGCTGCCATTTTTCTCTGGTATCTGGCATGGTGTGAATGGGTTTGAAGTAATCTCCAGTGCCTTTAATATAGTGTAATTGTATCATGGAAATTCTACTGGACATTTTTACCTATGGGTTATTGTGAAGATGATGTCCTCTTAAACTGTACTATTAAAGTAATCATTTTATACGATAGTAGTGTTAGTTTAAATAGAATTTTGATGATTAAGAGTTTTTAACAAATACAGTAAGGGATTATAATAGAGGTTAGTTTAGTGGGAAAATTAATACAGGTAAAGGTAGCATATAGTGTTATTCCCCCCACCCCTGATAAAGCAGGGGCTGCAGAGGATAGAAAATAAGAACAAAGAAGAGTTGGGACTTAGGAGTTGCTCTTGAGGAGCCATACAGACCATGGCTTAAGTTAATGATTAAGGGAAACAATCAAGTCCTAGGAATTAGCTCAAGTTCTTTTTGATATTGGAAAATGTGTTCACAGGTTCCAGTGTGCATCACAGCTAAAACAACTGACTTCATGTAACTAAAAAAGAATTGGATGATTAGTTAATTGGACTGGACTTTAAATATGAAAAGTGAAACTAATAACCTGTTTTCCTGGCAATTATGAAAACTACTGCCTATGTAAATGGTTATGACTTAAAGGCTCCTGATCTTTGAGAAGTCTAAAAGATAAATGTTTAACTGTATGTAGGTTCTTGGGGATAATTTGTTTTCCACCTGTAATATGTAAAATGTTTAATCATGTAATGAATATGGAAAACATGGGGTTTTTTTTCTACTTGTATTCAATTGTAATCATTCACTTAAAAAATAGAATGTAACCACATTGTAATTTTTATATTGCTTGAAAGACTCTGCTGGGGTATATAATGTATATATGCTGTAAGGGAAAAAATATAGAAGTCAGAAGGAAAACACCAGGAAAGATGTAGAAGGAAAACATCAGGAAGTAGTTAGAAAGAAGTCATCAGGAAAGAGCAAGAAGGGAAACATCAGGGTAGAAGAACAACAGGAAAAGAATAGTGTATAACAAGCAACAGAAAGAATTAAAAAACAGAAGAGAAATTTTTATTCCTCAGAAAAAGAAGTCTATGTGTTTTTTCTTGCCAATTCTGCATTTCATTCTTAGTCCCTCTGACCTGCAGAAGGATAGACCCTCTGCACATTGAACTCTAATATACATTTGAACCATGTTAGTCTCTTTTCAAAATATAGAATTACTAAGAGGTTGATATTCCAGAGTCTAACCACCATTCTGCTCCATCCTCACTGTCTGGTCACTGTTCCTACACCACTTAAGTCAAATTCAAATGGAACTAATTGAAGCAAAGGTAAAGGGAAGATGTAAGTAATGTGGATCCAACAGGGCCAGTCAGTCAGTCACTGACTGGTGTCTTCCCTGTGTATAGTGGTCAGGAAGGACCAGGCAGAAACAGTGTCTTCTGGACGTGACAGGAGTGTTGTACTTACTCATGGACTCTCAGCAGCTCCATAAAACCTGTACAACATCAAATCAGTTAGCATTCCAGCACGGAGACGGGAGGGGTTCTGGAACCTCCACCCCTAACTGAGGAGCTATTGACCAATGATCATTTCTCGGGGAGAAAACATCAGGTTTTAAGGGTGTGGCATCTGGAATGCCAATCAAGTTCCAGTAGAAGGCTCCACACCTTAGTATATGAGCAGCACTAATTAGACTTACTAGTTTTTTTAAGGACAAAGATGGGAAGCCATAAGGAGATTGGAGGGTGGATGTTGGAGAAGTTAAGAATAGGGTGCTGAATATGATCAAAATACATTGTATACATAGATGAAATTCTCAAAAAGTAAAATATTCTAGTAAAAAAAACTTTCAAGAAAAAAATAACTGAGCATTGTGCTTAACTGAGCATTGTCCTTCAAAAATTAGAACCAGCATTAATGGAAAATTTTTATTCATTAATCAGATTCGATAAGCTAAAAGCAGGAACATCTTTTAAAAATGATAATATATGAAGATAGCACATCATTTTATTGCAAATTAGTCACTTTTAAAAAAATGGATGAGAGAAGACATCAAACTGTGTGCACTCTGGAGAAATGGAGAAGTGACAACTTCTGATCCATGAAGCTAGATTCTTCAGCAGGCTGAAGCTTGCTGGTTCTAGAGCCCTGGGGCTCTTCACTTGATGTAGAAAAGCTGAAGAGATAGAATATGATGTCATCAGAGGACAATGGTGACAATTATAAATATGTGTTCAGGAAGAAGGACATCCAGGTGATGCTACTTCTTCCTTGGACTACCAATTGGTGGATGTCAACATAGGTACCACCCACTTTGAGGATGAGTCCCACCCCACTCAGTTAATCTTCCCTACTAGAAACACTCAGAAGCATGTCTCCTAGACCCCAGTCTTCAAGTAAGACCAACTATCACAAGACTCAAGAAGGACACCTCTAATTCCTATAGAATCTCTGACTAGTAACAGACTAGCAAGTTTTAAAAGCTAACAGTTTTAACAAACTCAGGAAGGCATGATTTAGAAGCTGTTTAAGGACAATGTGTCTTTAGTCAAATGGGACCGGTCCTTAGCTGTTTTCTTGGCATATTTTAAGTCCTACTTGAAAAAGCTGTAAAATATTAGTTTGGTGTCTCCTTACTTTGGTGGAACTGCAGGAGCAGCTTGCTCATTTCTGCGCATTGTCATATCTACTTCCCATTCAGGAGGATTGCCAGTGAAATCTCCTTTACTTTCAGCTTCACAGAAAAGAGGATACCGACTAAAGGTAGGGGGAGAAGAAAGACAAATATCATATAGGGGGCTGAAGATTTAGTCAGACCTTAGAGTTTAGAAGGCTGCACTCAAGGCCAAATTCCAGTGACTAGTAGATGCACTGATTCAAGTGAATCACTTACAACAATGTTAGCTTATGATATATGATTTTAAAATCTTAGTTGTAGTGGGCAATGGCTCACAGAAACTTACTACTGGTCAAGTGCAGAAAACAAGCATCAGTAGACTGTTCAGCCACAAACAGGTCATTTATACACACATTTACACACACTCAATACTATAAAGAAAGAAGGTGTGGGAAGATAATAAGAGCCAAAGGTCAGAGAGGACCAGACAGACAGAACATCTCTAAAAATAACAGGACCTCTTCACTCATGAGCTCACAGTACCTGTGGTTAACTTAACAAGACCTGCATAAGAGGAGCCATGGACAGTCAATGGCATGGGGGGGGGAGGAGGCAGAATCAGGTGTTTTTTAATGGTTTGACTCCTGGTGGGTCAATCATACTCCAGTGGATGACCCCCACACCCATGAGTATATGAACAGCACAAATTGGAGTCAATGAGTTTTGTGGGGTTTTTTTTAATTTTAAAAAGAACACAATGTTAGGGAATAGGTAGAGAAGTGGGAAGAGATAGGGTGGAAGTGGGGATGGATAGAATACAAATACATTATATGCAATTATCTAGGAATTAATTAAAATATTGCATTAAAAAGGTTAGCTGCTCCAGGATAGACGAGGTGGTTACACAGAGAAACCCTGTCTTGAGAAACAAACAAATAAACAAAAATTAGCTGCTATAGCAGATATTACTCTTTGTGTGGAGGACGTGACGGATGGCTTCAGTAATTACTTGAAGGGAAAATGGTATCAAAGTAAAAATAATGAATGTGTTCTCTCATATGTGGATCCTGAATCATACACATAGGACATGAGTGTAGAAGTGTTATTTGGGTAAAGAAATGGCATTAGCAGAAAAGAGAAAATGGGGGTAATGGGGAGAATATGGTCAAAGTACATGAGACACTTGAATTTGCATATATTTATGAGCCCCTTGACTATGTGCAATGAATATAGGCTAATTAAAAATGTCTTTAAGTGATTATAATAAAGTGAGGCGATGGGAGTGAGGTTTCAAACATGATGAGGAAGACTGGCCATTAAAAACACAATATCCCAACTTTATGACACATTTATGTGCAAAACCATTTTAAAAGCAAATTCCTTTTAAGATGTTCATTAAATGATTTTAACCAGAAAAATCTAATAGATTGCCCCCTAAAACCTGTTAAGTTTATCATAACTTTGCAAAAATTGGATCAGAGTTGCTAGTGACCTATACATTAGATTTTCTCAAATGGATTAACTAATAAGATATAAAAGGAAGCTGAATCTCACCCCATGGGTCAGCTTTAAATCTGCCCCCTCTCCTTATGGCATCAGCCCCACCCACCCATGCTACATTTTTGTATCTTTCAGGCTTTTTTTTTTCTGTCCTCAGTAAACTTGAATATGGACTTATTTTTAAAGTAGTCTAGCTTGATTAGCTTGGTGAGACCTGTGAGGTTTACAGCCATTCTGACACTAGTATTAGCAAAGTGGATTAATATCCTTCTCTTCTCTAGCATTCTAAAGCTCTAGGAGACAATTGTAATTTTGAAGACTCAGGGCCAAGGATAAAGAGATTTACATTCCCTTTAGACGTTGGATTCCACCACCACCACACCAACCCACACTCTAGGTTGTATGATTTAACATTTAAGGCTTGGGTCTTTTATCAAGAGGGTTGAGGTGAAGCTGAGGCCTTGGACAGGTGCCCCACCTGTGATACTCACCTGTGCATCACACAGGACAGATGCATCTCAGCTCGTGCAGTAGAGTTTTTTGAGATATATGTAAGTTTAGTCTGAAGCAGAGTGACATCACCAATAACCTACAGAGGCAAAGAAAGGTTTAAAATCTATGTTTATCTCACAGATCTCAGGAGACTTCAAAGGGATTTGAAGAAGAGCGTATAGGTACTTCAAGTTCTCCAAGAGACAGCCATTTCCCTAAACAATTCCTCATGAGAAGAAGAACCATCTTCTAAATGAAGAGATAGGTTCAATCTGGTGCATTATTTGGATGTAAAAGTCAGATAATACTTGTTTATTGAAAAGAGATCAGCTCTTCAGTTCATATTTTTTAAATCACATGTTTACACCTCCTTTTCAGAAACACAATAGAAGGTAACATGTGCTTATTTTGGAGAACATCAGCTTTCAGATCAGCTGAAACCCATCTGGAATTCAGACTTCTGAGACTTTCATTTAAATGATTAACTCTGGACTCTTGCTTTGAGACTGGGTCTCATATAGTCTACACTGTCCTTGAACTCTCTGGGTAGCCAGGATGGTCTTGAATTCCTGATCCTCCTCCTGCCTCTGCCTCTCCAGTGCTAGGGTTAGAGGTGTGCTCCACCAAGCCAAGTTTCTGTGGTGTGAGGGATCAAACACAGAGCCCTGTACCTGTTAGATGAGCATGCTACAACTGAGACACATAGATAGAGCCCCAGTGCCTGTGTCAATTCTTAAAAGAA